TGCATTTGTCTTTTGCCGAAGCTCAGACTCTGGCACAGGATCAGGAACGTTGGAAGCACTGTCTGACGTGCCTGCCTCCGCGACCCGAAAGGAGAAGCGGCGATGGAAGATGATGAAGATGAAGATCAGATAAAAGAAGCAAGATTTCTGAAAGATTTTTGAAACTTTGTTCGTGGTCTACACCGACTGCAGTAACAAGTTTAATGACAGCGGAATCGCTTATCAGACTGGCAGTGGTGTTATCCTGGTATATGACCTTCAAGGCGTTGCCACTAATACTGTGTAGGATATCAACAGATGCCTCACAATAGCAGGATGTTCATGTTGAAGCTGGCAAACTGCCAGAGTCGCTTCATACCAGTATTCAATAGGTAATTTTGTCATACGAGTGCCAATAGTTCAAAACTTTATAATCCATGTGGTAGCAGTTCAGTTTTTGAAACAGGTCGTCCGCTATAATGTGTTCAATACATCGGATGTTGCGCAGAAGAATGCCTTGTCTGTAGAGAGCAATGAATCTGATCTTAGCTAGAAACGATGTAGGAGTGGAAAAAGATGCATGTGGAAAGAAAAAAATGTCAAGTTTGCGTTACCATCAAATGGGAAGTAAGGATTGCAACGGAAGGAGAAAGAGATTATGTTGGAGAATACTGTAATAATAATTTTAAATATGCATGAGAGATAATGAATTTCGGTTTTACACACTGATGCAGGTTGTAATAATCACTACGCTTTTAGGCAACAAGTTGATGATAATATTAGTGAATGATGATGTGAGAACTGCAGAACAAAGATGTACGAAACAACTGCAATTCCATTATTTGTGGGAAATGACGACACGAAGAGCTACTGATAAAGCCCTTGTTCATCTTGATATCCAAAAAAGAAAGTGTTATTATGTTGAGCTTCGGCTGCGAATTTCATCCTCTGCTCATTGTCAAAACCGCTTATGAAATAAGAGATGGTTAAAAGGTTAAAATTTCCAAAATCCTCCTTATATAATAACAGTTCCTGAAGCCGAAAATGGTGTTTTCCCAAGAAGTTCCGAAACAGAGGGAAAAAAACGCAAATGAATCAAAGAATACTTTATAAACCAACTGTAATCACCTACTTTCTAAGCAATGTTTCAGCACCGAACAATCACGCTGTTTCAAAGCACGAAAGAAAGCTACTATTACATAACAAAGGCTTAAAATTATCATTAGTGCATGAGCTTTGGTCTCCATCATGCGAAGCCGAAATAAAAAACATAGGCAAATGTAAAAAACAACAACTATAAATAGGAAGTGTATTTCACCGCGAAGTATGTCTGTTATGAAAAATTAACCAAAACATCCGTTATTACTGCATGATCGTAATAAACTAATAGCACTTTGTTGGACTTATGAATAGGGAAGCAAATAAACTTCTCAATCAAGTAAAAAGCTACATCCTTTGCACGAAACTACCTTAAATGATAAAAAGTTTGCTTCTCTGAACAATAGGATCCCATCGTCTGTTAACTGTTTATGACAGCAATAAAAAGTCGATCGTGACAACCTATTATTCAAAAACATGTAGTTCAAATTAAAAGCTACAGTAGGACTCCAAAATTTAAATTAAAAACTGATAGTAAACTCACATTTAAAAAACAAATTTATACGTCGGCCATGGCAAAAAAATGTTATCCGAGTATAAGGGGCTGAAATGGGTTCTTAAAGACGAATCGCTGGCCTCAAGCGTCTCAAAATGATCCGAAGTTCAGATATCTAAGAGTGCCCTGTGTACAACAGCTGTTTCCTCAAACTGAGGACCGTTGCCAGAAAAGAAAGTCAGACAGACACTACCTGTCCAATCGACTGGTTAAAGACCCCGGGGATTGCCAAGAATAATCTGAGGGTGGTGTATCGAAGAACTCCATGTAGACTTCTGCCAAAATTTACACTCTACTACAGAAGCGGGAACGTTTAGGCCTGCTGACGTCGCTGCTGTTCGGCACCCAAAAGTAGAAACAAACATTAAAATTGACTTACTGATCTGCAGTGCAGTCATTTTTTTACGCAAGGTTTACAGATCAAGACTGGGGTCAAAAAAGCTTGGTAGGGATTGGTATTAAATAAAATTATTAAATAATTCATTAAACGCTTATATCACGATAAACAGTTGTCGTGATGGACTGTGCGAGCCATTTGCTATGACAGGACTGGCGTAGACTAACTTTAGTTAGTTTTAAACCTAGTCATAATAATGGCTTAGTTTAAATCTCGATTAGAGACTAGAAGGAGACACAGTATTTATGCCTTGGGGCTGAAACGATAAATCGAAATATAAACCAAGCT